ACAAAGGCTACCAAGGTATTTAGCACAATTTCCGGGCGGTGCTGCCATTGAAGAAGCCGGTAGGTGGCATACTCACCTTTGCCGAGCAAGCGAAGCATGACCGTATTGCCAGCGATCGCGTCATCCTTGAGAACTATTTTGGTCGGTTGAAGACACTCTGGGCTACTCTTGTGTGTATATGTGCGTCTATATATGGGTATAAGATGGATTTAGACAGTAAAGAGCGTATTTCCTGAGTCTGCTCCCCCTGACGAATTATTCGAGAAACCGGTTTTGACGCTTACTGATGGTCTTAACGTTAGATCAAAGCATCACCCACCTCTATCTGGCAGAACCGACTTCGAACGAGTAACTTGTACTCATCGCTGTATCCCAAGAAGAGGGCATTGCGCGCAAAGCTGGTCATCATCACACCCACTTGGCGCCAGCGCCTTGCAGAACGACAGCTGATTGATCACGGACACAAACAGCGGCCAAAAGTTGTAAAACTGCTCCTCCACCCCCAGGGACCACGGGTGCAGCGGATGCGTCCCGGCCACGAGGGTGAAGGACTGGACCGCCTTGTCCAGCAGCCACACGCAGCCCATGACCAGCGTGAACGTGAGCATGAGAAGCAGCGCCGGGAAGATGCGGTGCGAGTAAAAGTAGACCTACGTAAACGAGCTTCTGGTGTTTTCCTTGCAGAGGGTGCCCGAGATAAGGTAGCGTAAAAGTCCATTTTAAGAACACTTTCCCCGAGATGCTGCCGTGGAAGGCATGTAACTCGACTCGTAGGTATATGTTTCATTAAGCCAAAATCCAGGCCTATTCAGGAGTTATGAATGCGATATGATTCCTGTTATACTTCATTTTCATTCACATCAATTTGTCCAGATACAGCTGCCGTAGGCAACGCAGGCTTCTTGGACGGTTCTTGCACTGGCGACTGCTTAGTGTTCCTTGAGGGTGTCCCGTGTGGTACTTCGCGTTGTCCATAACGATGTACGCACCTTGAACACCCAACGTGTCCTACTCGTCCAGCAACGAATTAAACCACTTGACAAAATAGTCGTGGTTGAACATACCGTGATAGTCCTTGGGTTCCTTTGCCTGAGACTTCCCGCCTCGAAAGATGTCAA